AAGTTTCCAGTTTGAATTTGAATTTGAATTTACTACACTGTTAAAAATGAATATTGTAATAATTTCCCAATAATGTAATAATCCCAAAAATGGAACAACATTCTGCACTTATTCAAAAATGCAATAAACACAATAATGTAATAAATTGCATAATAATGTAATAGAATGTCTTAGCTATTATTGTAATAACATTTTTACCAATTATGTAATCAATGTATCAAAGATGTAGCAGCAGTGAAACATCTGAACAAATTCAACAGATTACCAAAGTGTTACCATTATATTTTCAGGTTAGTCGTTTGTAAAGCTGTAGTACATTATTGGGAATTTAATATATTTATGAGTTGACCATATTTTTCAAATAGATGATGTAATACATTTGTCACCATGTTTATTTTCAGTCCACATTCTTACAGCTTTAAGCTTGAGAATATTATCACTATATCTTCAGCAAGTACCAATACAGTAGAACATTCTGTATCATCTTAAGTACTTTGCACTTTATACAGCTTAACATTACTAACCCTGCATGCACAAAGCCAGTGACAAAACACCGAGGCAGCCAGAAGTCACTACATTTCAATGAGAGGCAGTGATGAACGCTTATAATATAAACGCTTTCTGAGACAGATGTAGGTCAGTCATAATCAAGTATTAACAAAGTGAGTATTTTGTAAATATAAACAAATGTTGAATTTGATGTTTGCAACACACTCAAAGAAAGTTTAGGGCATGGCAAAATAAGAGTGAAGAGTTTATAGAACATTCAAGTTACCACAATAAGCAGGTAAATTGTAGACTGTAAACTGTAGACTGGGGTTCAATTCCCCACCTGAGTAAGAACCCTACACTATACCAATAAGAGTCCTTGGGCAAGACTCTTAACACTGCCTTCGCCTACCTGTGTAAAATGATCAAACTGTAAGTCGCTCTGGATAAGAGTGTCTGCCAAATACCGTAAACTTTTTGTGGAAAACAGACGTTGAGTTCTTCATTCCAAAGATGAAAGGGGCCATCCAGACTTTTGTCAGGAAAAGGTGCATTAGAGGCCACGACATGGGTGACTTGCATGTGAGTGCAGGTACCATTGATGTGGAGGTGTATATTGGGATTGTAGAGAGACATATGCTGCCATCAAGACAATGTCTTTTCCCAGGAAGTCCACGGTTCTTTCAGCAAGACAGTGCCAGGCCCCATTCTGCACATGCTATAACAGTGTGGCAGTGCAGACCCAGAGTATGTGTGCTTTTCTGGCTTGCCAGTCCAGATCTGTCTCCTATTGAAAATGTGTGCATCATGAAGAGGAGAATCAGACAGTGATGACCACAGACTATTAAACAGCTGAAGTCTTGTATCAAGAAAGAACGGGCAAAAATTCCACCTGGAAAACTTCAACAGTTAGTATCCTCAGATCTATCAGATCCCAAATGATTAAAAAGTGTAATTAAAAGGAAAGGTGATGTAACACAGTGGTAAACATGCCTCTGTCCCAACTTTCTTTGATGTGTTGCAGGCATCAAGTTCTAAATATGCTCATATTTACAAAATATAATTACGTTGGTCAGTGAAAACACTGGAAATCTTTCCTTTGTACATTTGTCAGTTAAATAAAGGTTGGATAGAGATGAAAAATCACAGTCTCTTGTTTTTATTGCATTTTACAAAACGTCCCAACTTTTCCAGAAATGGAGTTTGTAAATAAAATCTGTTCCAAGAATGTTTACAACAAAATAATAACTAATAAAATAATAAAGTAAAAAGTACTTCCCTAATAATGTTAAAAAGTGTTACATTATTGGGAAAATGGTATTATTTTAACAGCCATGGTTCTGTGTTACACCATTAGGAAAATCGTTACATTATTAGGTTTTATTACATTTTTGACCGAGTTAAGTGCACAACTTTATTACATTTCTGGGTGTTATTACTTTATGGTGAAATTATTGCAATGTTAAGTGCTACGAGGCTGTTTTGAAACATTTGCCATTCTGGATGTCAAACAAAACGCAGATGTGAAACACTGAAGACAGAAGGTGAAAGTTAAAGATGATGAAGTAGGACAAAGTGTTACTTAATCTTTTCAGCAGGGCTGGGCTATAAACACAAATATAGATCAATAAAGTGGCCTTCGGATTTTCCCAACGTGACATGTATGGTGTGATCTGTGGAAGCTGAGGGCCAGATGAACGTACAAGAGCAGATGCAGCAGGTGCCTTGATGTCACTGCAGTATAAGCTCACAATGTGTCTAAAATGAAAGGTCTGTAGCTAATCATGCAAACTGCGCAGAGGGTCGTCTACTACCTGTGCTCATGAATAGGAGGGTTTAAAGGGTGCAGTGAAACAGTGGAGCTGTCAAGAAGTTCGAGACAAAACAGAAAATGAAAGTTCAGTAATGAAGAGATAGCGGAGTCAATAAATAAAGTTTTTTCACCAAAACATTCTACAGAGGTATAAATCCACTCCAGATAAAATAGAGTTCAATAGAGCTAGAAAACCAGCAGACCAGCATATGTTGTGTTTTGGATGCTGGTATTCTCATTATACTCATTATAGTATCATTATCGTATAACCAGTGGTCACACAAAAATACATAAATACATGTGCAGCATTACTGAATGGTTATAGAAAGCTAACAGTAGCTACTGTATATACTTCACTCTATATTTCACAGCAGCATTTCACTACATCAGCTACAAAAAGAACAGAACATGAAATCATTAAAGCTGAAGGACCCTGTAAAACTGAAATATACAAATTCTAAAAGTATATCTTAACTGAATGCTTGTTATAACCTTTATATGTCCACAGCTGCTACAGCACCACTGATAGCTTGGCGTTAATATAATAATGAAAACAGCGCTAATAGAAATTAGCATTACTGCAGTGGTGTAAATGTGATAAGTACAGCTTTTTATGAAGCTAATTTAAACCTTTATGTATTAAAATATTTTCATGTAATGACATGGTCACAATCTGACTGTATCTGACCCTCAGTGTAAACAAAGTTCTTTGAGCGTGCCTCAGCCAATCATATTTGAGATTTGGACCTGTCTGTCCCATCGGACTAACTTCATCTTCTATCAGTTATTAAAATGAAATAAAACAATGTGGATTCCAAAACTGTAACCGTATTTTGTGGCTTTTTTTTCTTTGGAAGAGCAGGAGGGCTTAGCCCCACTAGCCCATTCATACCAGCCACTGCTCCTCCTACTTCTGCTCAGGCATATTACTGAGTAATCTACTTCTTATTCGGTTCAATTATAGTTTTTCATATTTAACTCTCTTTTTAGGGTTCAATGTTTTTCTACTGTGTTGATTCAGCTCCTTTTCTTCTTTACTGTTGATCACTACTCTCATTGTGGAGCTTTAGCACTCACATCTCCAAAGTGATCATTTTATAGAAGAAAAGCACTCTTTACCCCTTAAAATCCCAGACTTATTACATACTAAGGCTTAGTATTCAGTAACTACAGGAACATCAGTGCAAACTGGCTGAGATAATCTTAGGTTGTAATCAAACTTTGGGCCCGCCGGTGGGCCTTGGCTATAGTAATAAGACCGTATTCAAGAGTGGTTGACAAAGCTTCTTCACTTCACCTGCTAACATAAAAATAACTGCAAACTCCTTGGCTGCCATGTTTCAGATAAAGCCTTTTCCACTGAACCTGCTGTTGGCCCCACACTGGTGAGATGACTGACGTGAAAGTCAACGAAATATCAATACTACCGAACCAAATGGCAAATTAAAATGGTAAAACTCAATACGAATTTTCTTTGTGCACCCAACATTGCATATGAGTGAGAAATTTCAATTCAAATATAGGAATGCACTGCCATTTTACATATTATATTTTCTTTTTAATTTTGTTATTTGGTATAGGATGAAAAATTACTTTTACAACTTGTGTGCTGCATATATACAAAATAAACAGCCATCTCTGATTGTTACATTATTTTTTGTGCATATTTGATGACTGCAGTGCTTATATGTGCATGTAGTTTAACTATAACTGAAGTACAATAATACTGCAGATTTAAGAATAATTCAATCCTACTATAATGCAGTAATTAGAGCAGGTACGAACAGGTACAGTAGAGATTATCTGCTAAGTGTATTTGAAATGGCCGTGCTGACGATGCGGTCACTGTCAAATTAGATTTTAGATGCATACTTGTAAAATATGTAGTTAAAATGTAATTTATAAAAAAAGTAAAACAAGTAAAAAAAAACTAAAACTTTGTAATGTTATCAGTACAAAATGCAATAGAAGTTAATGTTTCCATTCAATAGTGATCCACTCAATAATTACTGAATAGTTTATGTCGTGCAACGAACATAACTATGTGTACAATGTAGATCAAAGTTAATAGCTAGCTATTCTTTTCTTTATGGCTAAAACATTTTTGCCTTTATGGGGAATTCCAAACGCCATTCAAAATTTCTGCATAACTCAGTGTGTGAGATGTGAACAGTGATTCAGAGTGGTTTGGTATGAAATGGTTCAGATGTCTTTACAGTGGTGGTGATAGGAACCAGGGGTCGCCATGACTACAACACAGATATAGACATTTACTATCCAAACCACCAGTGAACCTACAGGAGTCTTCTGAGTTTATATGGAATGTTGATGATGGAAAATAGTGATGTATTTGAATAATACAGTTTTTCAGGTACTGAAATGTATCCCTCCAACATGAATGGATTTTAAAAAACATACATATTAAGACACAATCTATAAAACAGTGTCTCAGACAGCAGGCAGTGAATTCATAACCATTTCATGTAGTAACTTTCTGTGAGGGAGCTTTTAGAGGTGGACGTCTGGTTCCTAAGGATAATTTAATCATTTTGGTTGAAGGAGTTCAGCTGACACAAAAAAGATTGGATTTCCATAAAAATCCATAAAGCACACAATAGCAATTTGATAAATAAATAATTCGATAATAAATAATAGTGTAAATGTAAACCACATAATTATATAAATCACAAATATCACATTGTGGAGAAATCCCGTTTATTGTTCATTCAGGTTTTACACTGATAGAACAGCTTTTCAAAAATATCAGCAGTCATTTAGGCCATATAATGTTTGAATACTTATTCAACAGATTCACTTTCACAGAAAGGAGCATGAAAGTGTAGTCAGTGCAAGACAATTTAGTTCAATTCTGAGGAAGTTAAAGTGGTTTATGAGGGTCACCCAGCTTAGCTGATTGTGCAGAATCTGCTTGTTATGCTTAAATTTGGTAAAATCTGTTAAACGAGTATTCAAATTTTACTGGCCCAGTTTCAGTTTAAATTAGGTGAAAATGCAGTGAAAAGCTTTTCATTCGTCGTCTTAAGAAATCAAAGAAAAAAAATGTCTCTCATTTTGTGATTATCTGTACAATAAATTCAGTTTTAAACAGACAGAGCACTGGACCTTACAAACAAACATATCTGTTAGAACTGGAATTTCTCATCATTAACTAAGTGCCATCAATGACAATGGCTGATCTGGCCTTTTAGATGTTGCCCTCAGTAACCATGGTAACCTGACATACCCAAACAGTCTGAATCCAAACAGAAATGGCCCAAACAGAAACTGAGCAAATCAAAGTGAGCTTCAGAGTTTCAGGATGGTTGTATACGGCGCAGCAGAATTTAAAACAAGCCAGTTGTCAAAAAATAAATCTGCATTTAAAATTCAAACAGAAAATCTTTACACTGTATCTTGTAATATAAGCTTCATAGTGTGTAGCTATAGAGATCACAGAGTAAGAATGAAGTGACTGACTATGACACCACGACTAAAACTTTCTGTCCTAAATCCAGCAGAGTAGATACAAGCACAGGTCAACAGAACAGCAGCAAAGACATGAAAACATCATAATTATCAAACTAATCAAACTCAAATACAAAACTAATTCAAACCCTCTTAACCCTTTTAACTGAAATAAAAATAGTTTCAAAATCAAAAGCTCATCAAGTCAAGCACAGCACAGTTACCACCCAGATTCCCAAAATGTGACAGGTTTGATGAAGATCGCATTAATATTGTTTAGAGAAGTAAATATTTGCAGATATTTTGTGTAATTTATGTGCTGTTTAAATGTTCTCTTCATATCTGCCCCATCATCCATTCTCCATCACCTAAAATAATAAATACAAAGACATCATGAATGTTCTGAAATATGTAATGTTACATTAGTCTTTCACAGACAGAGCTTAGTGAATACGCAGCATAGAATCAGCTTTCTGTAAAATAAATATCACAGTGTAAAGAAAAGACTCACTCTCTCAAATCAGCATGAGGACATTGTCTTTAAGAGTTGTTGGATGATGAGTCTCCCTCAGAGGCTGTAAGACAATAAAACATTCAAAATGCTCAAATGTTCATGATAATGTAGACTAAAAGATACAAATACATAAAACACGCTCACTTACGGGCGTTTGGGTTTCCCGAAACAGGTTTGAAGCCTGAAAAACAAATGATGAAAGATATTAACTTCTTATAATGTTCATGTTCCATCCCAAATGACACAGAGCAGTTCTCATCTGCTTATCATGAATCAGGGTCTCTGTTCTCCCTTACCAGACTGCTTCTTCTTCCAAATGAAAACTCCAACACATCCAATGAGGACGAGGAGCAGAACAGCCACGACTGCACCAATGATGATACCAACTGACCCTCCACCTGAAACACCAGAGTGTTACATTAGGAGACACTTTTTTTTAGTTATTTTTAGCTTATTGTAAACAATAAATAAATAAAATAATTTAGAAAATAAAAATGCACAGCTTTTTCCTTCAGTACTAGAAGGTCCCACCTGTCTTGAATGGCAAAACCAACTCCTCTTTCAGGCTGCTGTGCTGAACGACACAGCTGTACTGATTCTCCTTCAGCTCCTCAGGTGAGACAGTCAGAACGCTCCTCTTCTGGAAGGTTCCATCCTGGTTGGGTAGCGTCTCTCTGAGCTCCACGTCCTCATGCAGATCCTCGCCATTCTTCTGCCAGGAGATCATCACTGCTTTGGGGAAGAAACCTGTAGCATGACACACCACTGGAGAAGAAGAGTCCTTCTGGAACAGGTCCACCTTAGGAGAGACTGGAGAGAGAGAGAGAGAGAGAGAGAAAGACGGGGGGGGGGTTAAGTTAACATTAATAATCTGTAATTATATTATAGTCAGTAATATTCTGATGACAGGAATTCATAGAATTTCACTGATATATGATACTCATGTGCAACACTGGTGAAGGGTATTGTTCAAATGTATAAAAGAGATTTTCTTATCAGCAGTGCAGCTGCAAAAACATGTGGAGCGTGCTGCTTTTTAAAAATCTGTCCATAATACTGGAGACATGATAATAACAGTGACAGTAACAGGGTTAGATCTCAGACCTTACCTTTCCTCTCCAGAGTGGATCTGCCATAATCCACATACTTCCGCAACCACTCAGTACAGGTGTTCTCCAGGTAGGCCTTATTTCTAGCAGCTACTCCCAGGCCATCCCACCTCTGTTTGGTAATAACAGCTTTAGAATTAGGTGCTATATAAGTGACAGCATTTAGATCCAGAACAAGGAAGTCTTCTCCATCATAACCGTACTGCCTGTATCCTCTAATTGTTCCATCATCATGCAGCTCACAGCCGTACATCAACTGCACTGTGTGAACTCCTGCAGAGACACAAACACATGAACACATCTCGGTTATTACACGGCCACATGAAATGTGTTTTATAGGAAGTACCTATTTAGCACATTAATTCAAAGTAAGCGAACCAAAGCCACCAAGTTTTCCACATAAGGCCTACTTATGAATTGGCAGATCTAAGAAGGATCTAAGAAAAGTAGAATACAGGGATCTTGAACAAGCTTGGGGATAGACCTTCCACTGCCAGTGAGGTTAATTTATTTATTTTTTTATTTATTTTTAAAATAATATATTTATTTTTTTGCAGTGTATTACTAAGCACTTGAGTTTTTGATTTAATCATTTTTTTAATTTTTGCAATTTGGACATTTTGGGCTTTGGAGAAACTGGGAGGGGGGGCATGGAATACTGTTAAAATTTGATGGTGTGAGGGTTCTGTTTGTTGATTATAAATTGTGTATGTTTTGTCAGATACATTTAAATATATAAAGCATTTGGTTGGCAGAATAAACGGGGTCTGTTAGGTTTTTTGGTCCGCATGTGTTTTTGTGTTCGTCCTAATTCATCTCCTAATCATAAGCAATGTATTCTCGAATTATAAATGTAACCCCTAAATCAAGGTGATTGTTACACAGTACTGTGAGGAAAATTAACATCCATCACAGATCCACTACTACAAACAAAATCTTATTCAACATGCTCAAACCTTGTCTTTAAATTTGACTTTTTTATTTAAATATGACTTTGAATTATTTGGTCCACCTGAACACAGTCAGCATCATTTTAATAGAGTAGATATAAAACCTTCATCTGAGGGGCTTCAGATTTTTCACAGTCAGGGTCTCAGAACAGTTTAATCCAGCTCTGATTTTAATCCACAATTATTGTTCATGTACTGAATTTCACATTTTCACATTTTCTAATATGTTAAACTTTATTTCTAATATTTATTTCTAATATGTTAAACATTTCAGGCCGATAATTTAAAATACCTCATTAAGACATTAATAATTAATTCGATAAAAATGTAGAAATTCTACATGAATCATACAATATTAAAAAAAATTTATCATGACTGAAAGTTGATCTGCAGTGTCATAAAAATACACTAAACTGTTCTGATAATTTATTATATATTTCAAATATATAATTATATATTGATCATTCAGTACTGTGATCTTTTAATATTGATCTTCATTTCTGAGTTTATTGATTTTATATTTAGAATTTTTTTTTCATTTACATTATTATTAAAATACAGTGTTTCTCATTATTTCACTGTCTGACTGTTAGGATGATTTAAACGAGTCTCGACTAATTAAAGAGCTTAAAGCGATTTTATCAAATGTTCAAGTTCAAATGTTCCACAAACACTTTACTGTAATAACTGTATTAACACTGTTTTACTGTATTAAATCAGTTATTTTTCACAGTTAAGTCTCTTTATATGAGTTTTCTCTGATCCACAGGAGCTGAAACACTTATAAAAATAAAATCACTGCTTTTCTTTATTAAACAGTCTTTCTGTTATTAGTTATAATCATACTGTAGTTTATTATACAGCCTGAAGAATCAGCTGTAATCAGTGTTACACTCTGCAGTGTGACTCATTTCACTGTGAGCTGAAATGGCTGTATCAGTTCTACAGTATCTTTACTGTAGAGTGAAACACAGCAGCTCTCTGGCTGGTTGTTACAGTGAGTTGTGAGGTGTGTAATGTGCCTGATCTGTGTGTGTCCACTGTATTAAACTGTATTAAAACTGTAACCTTTATTAAACTGTATTAAACCTTATGTTAACTGTGTTAAACTGCATGTAAACTGTATCTGTGACAGTGTTTTGATCTGGATTCAGAGAGTAAATGTCTTTCATCACGACTCTGAAACTCCAGCTGTCCTGAATCGTCTTTCTCTGTGGTGAAACACTGTAAACTCACTGTAAATGATCTTCGTTGTTTCTACAGCATCATTACTGTGTTCTGAAAACTGTTTTGTCTTAAAACTGTTCTATAATATCTCGCTGTAGATCTTAAATGCATTCTGGGAAATATTTTCCGTATTACAGTGTTAATGTTTTACTGAAGATCTAAACAGTATTAATACCTGACTGTAGATCTAAATACAGTAATGTAAACTGACTGTTATTAAACCTGATAAAGTGAATGTACACATGCTACACAACTCCATCTCACACTGTTTTTATTTCTAATCAGCTCTTCTACAGGAAAACAGCTCATAGTCACTCAGTGGCTGAGTATCAGTGCTGCAGTTCTGCTTCAGTCTTTTGAGTTTGGGCTGAATACGTGAGTCTCTGTTCAGCACCTCACGACTCACAGTGCAGCACTTCAGCCAGGGACACCCTCAGTGTTTTGTACTGAGAGAGGGAGAAATATTTCCTGTTTAAACTGGTGAAACAGAACATTTCAGTAATGAAGTCTGACCAACATCACTGTAACACTGAAGTGAGAGCTGCATGACCTGTGTATCAGAATCAGCTGAGATCTGGGCTGATATGTAGCTGACAGGTCATGAACACACTGAGACCACAGAAATGAAGGAGTCGTTCTGGATGAATCTTCTATATGAATTTTAGGTCTTATTTATTTCTGACAAGTTAAACTCAGGAAATAAACAGGAAATGCAGAGAGACGTCATATCTAAGTGTGTCCTCTGTAGAGGATGAGTTCATTTATCTTCACTTACAAAGTTAACAAAACACAGTTTAATCAGGGGCGTTCAAACTTTTGCACACGACTACATGCTGTCAGTTGCATTATAGTGTAGCCTAAAAACAGAAGAGCAACAAATAAGATAAAACACTTTAAAATAAAGATCAGACTGGAACAATAATCAGCTATAAACTCTAATAAACTGATCTTAAATCTTATAATAACCTACAGTGATGAGCAAATTTACATTTATTTACATTATTTAATCTCACACACAGTTAAGGGTGCACATATTTATGCAATTCTACATTATTATTATATTTATCATCTCACAGTAAAATCTGTCTCAAAAACAGAAGAATCTCATAATACTATAAATACAATCAGGTTAAAAAAATAATAATAATAATAATAATTATTATTATTATTATTAATAGAATCTGAAATAAGTTAAATATCTTACATAAAAATAAAGCAATATTTGAGTTTAAACGTTTTACCCTCATAAACAGACGCAGACCTGCATGAAGAAATATAAAGTATCACTTGTACAATTTAGAAATTTTATTTATTTTACCGTTTATTCATATTTACAGTTATTATATCTTATTAAAACGTGTTTAACACTGAAGCGGTCAGTGAATGTCCATCACACAGGAGCTCATCTGTGATCTTTATATATTAATCATAGTGGTCAATCACTGTACATATTCATTATAGCGGCTCTTATTCTGGAAAAAGCTGAAGAAAATAAAAGAAGTTCCTAAATAAACTCTTTAAAGTGGATTTTTAGATGTGATGACGTTTTAAAACCATTTTAGGCTGAAACTTAAAATACTGCATTTAGAAATTAATAATTAATTTGATAAAAATGTAGAAATTCTACATAAATCATTTAATATTTAAAATATTAATCATGACTGAAATTTGATCTGCACAGTCATAAAATATATTAAACTGTTCTGATAATTTATTAACATGAAACTGTTGATTTAAATTAAATTATTATTCTCGGTTTTTAATTTATTCACTGTAAAAATCTCAGTTCAACCTAAAAAAACTTAATTTGGTAACAATTTAATAAAGGATTTTATTTAACACAAACACTTTTAATGAAAAACACAAAGTAAAAGTTAAACTCAGAATCTGAAAATATAATTCAATATATTAAACTCAAAATAATGAGTTTATTAAACTTTAAATTTATTTATTAAATAATTTATTATTTATTTATAAAAAAACTTTTAATTTATTTGTTAACTTTTAATTTATTTGTTAAACTATTTAATTCATTAAATTAAACTCAAAATAATAATAAACTTCAGTTTATTTAGTTTCACCTTTAAATTACTTTCAGTGTTATGAAGGAGATTTTTACTGTTAAAATGATGAAAATGACAATAATAATAATAATAATAATAATAATAATAATTTGGGTGTTCAGTCAAATTGAAATATTTAAACTTAAATATATAAATATTTTATTTATTTGTTTAGATAATTTGTTGAATTAATTTATATGATTATTTATATTTAACTTTGGTCTGATTTATTTGTGTTTTACATCATTAAGATGTTTCAAATGAACCTCAGTACTGTAGTTACAGTAGACGGTCAGACACACACTGATAGAGGGATTTAAAGTCTCCCTGCATGAACAGCGTCTTCAGCTCTGTGTTTAGAGAGATCAGAGAGAGACGATCAGCCTGATTCTCTACCAGCTCAAACTCACACGCTGAGAACATCATGGACTGAAGCTCAGCCTCATCACTGAGGCACTGAGTCTGAGTCTGAAACTGAGGGCAGCTGCTGGACGTCCTGCTGTCCGAGCTGCCTCATTGGTCAGGGCCTCAGACGGCCTCAGCTTCGTGATGAAGGCATCTGCAGCTGAATCGGGCTCGAGACTCACTTTGAAGGCAGCGATACGTCACGTCGTTGCTAAGATACACAGCTCACTGCTAGCTGTTAGCGTTAGCATCTTTTACCCAGAGATAAATGAGTTTAATAAGTCCAGCATACGGAGCTTTATAAACTAATAAAAGTACTGAGTTTGGACTCAAACTGGTCTCTCTCTCCTCCACTGACTCAGCGCTGCTGTTTACTGATAACTCTGTAACCACATCAGCTCTGACACAGAGGATTATGGGAAATGTAGTCAGTGAAGGACACATCTACACTGCCTTCAACACACAGCTGAACGGAGGAACCTCAGCAGCAGCGTTTCATACAGACAGTAGATCCAGACGAGACCGGCTGCCTTCCTGCCTCTGAACTCTGTCTGACTCGCAGCGTTCATTACCTTTCAGACTCTGACTGAACACAACACCACCAGCAGGTGGAGCCACTGCTGCACTT